AGATCAATGGCTATGATCAGCCATTCTTTATGAATCAAGGAAGGCAAAGGCATTCCAGGCTGGGGAGAGCCCATTGGCTGAATTACTTTATTAATGACTCTCAGGTCTCTCAGAAACCTCCATTTACCAGACTGTACTTCTTTTTGATAATGAGTAAAGGAGAATTTCACGGTCTGGTGGATTCTTCTATATTTCCAGCACATAGCTGTTTGTGAACTAGCTTTTCTAAAGCCTCTAGTTTCTCAGAGGACATAGGCCATTGTCTTACCCAGACATGTTCATCTGTAAGCCATTTTAAGGGTAGAGCTTTTGGTTCCTCTGTAGGTTTAGCATTTGTACTTTTTTATGTACAGCCTGGATGGTTGGTTATCTGTTTTCCATAGTGCCTAACTATATTTTGTCTACCATGTAGAGGGTATATATGATTTGCATCTGATACTGGAGGAATGTTAATCTGGGTATTCCATTGCTGTAAATGGTCACGGCAACAATGATTTATTTCGATGTCTGCTACATAAGGCTTTAAACTTCCTCTCTGTCCTCCTGGTCCTATGCAGACAACCCACCTCACACTTTGGCATACTTTAGATAAAGTTCCAATCCCTAAAAATTGAACATTCACCTCTTGTAGGGGCCATGTCTGAGGCCAGGACTTTTGCAGTATAATAGTCACATCTGCCCCAGTGTCTACCAAACCGGTAATAACTTTACTATTTATTCTTACTTTCAACTGAGGCCTCTGACATTTATAGAAGTTTGCCAAACTATGTGTTTTTTGTCTGCTCCAGTCATGTTTGATTCCTCCTCACTAGCCAAACTACCATCTAGAGTGGTACCATTCTTTACAATAGGCAATGTACTATCTATTCATTCTGTTAGAGATTGTCCTCCACAGAGACTAGGAATGACCAGACCTTTCTCGAAGTGGGTGCCTTTGAGAGGTTCCCCTCAAGGAGTTTCCTGATTGTAACGGGTTACCTTGTATGTCTCTGGTCGATCTACATTCATTGGTGCAGTGTCTGCCCTTACAACATTTCCTACATAATCCAGGAGGCAGAGGATTTCTATAAGAGACATTGTCAGAATTTCCTTGCCTACAATTCCTTCTAATATGCCCTATTCTGCCACAGTTATGGCAGAATAGTATCCTTATGCCTTCTCGAACCTCTAGGGATTACTCTTCTTACCCAAGTTCCTTTTTCAGCACAGTTGGAACATCTGGACTCTTAGTGTATTTTTAGACCTTTGGAATTTGCTTCTCCTTCCCAAGCTTCTGTGTCATCACCTTTAAGACACTTAGCCTCTTGGTGTGTTTTTAAACCTTTTGAGATTGTCTCTCCCACCCAAGCTTCTGTATCTTGAACATTATACTCGAGATTAGCAATATGCAAAGACACACCCTTCCAGTGGTGCTGATCTGATCTTTAAAGGCAAAAGTACCCTTTTGCAAAATGTATTTGTATTTTCATAAGCTAGAGATTGTATGAGTATTTTTCTAGAGTCTAAATCTGCTACCTGCAAATCTACTGCCCTGGACAGTCTTTGTAAAAAGTCAGTGAACTCTTCTGTCAGTCCCTGTGCTATCTTAGTATAGGGTTCTATTCTTTCTCCTGGTTCATGAACCTTGTCCCAGGCATTTAAGGCTGCTGTCCTGCATAAGGACAATATGTGCCAGTCATATGCAGCCTGAGCCTGTGGGTCAGCATAAATACCCTCACCAAGAATATTTTTTTTAAATCTTTTTATTTTAATTAGAAACAAGATTGTTTTACATGGCAATTCCAATTCCCTTTCCCCCTCCTTCTCCCATGCCACCCAACTAACACCCTATCTGTCCCTTTCTGCTCCCAAGGGAGGGTGAGGCCTTCCAAAGGGGGTCTTCAGATTCTGTCATAACCAACTAAGAATCTTATCTTGAAGAGCTTCATAACCTTTCTTTAAACCTTGAGGCTCGAGGGTGTTTGCTTCCTCACTCCATATAGCCCTCCACTGTATTTGAGATGAATTTTCAAGCACAGCTGACAATAGGCATTCCCAATCTATGAGTGTTACTCTATTAAAAGTTGCCCATGTATTTAATAATTGTTTGACATAAGGGCTATGGAGACCATATGAGACAACAGCCTCCTTAATTCCTTTCAAATATTTTAGTTATATCCATTCCCATTGATATGACCTGGACATTTGGATATTTCTTAGATGGTGGTTTTTCTGACACTGGATATTGATGATTAAAGTGGAGTCAGAGATAGGTTAATAACCAGTAGTTTACTAGGGGAAAATACTCATGCAAGGAAACCAGTGATTATGTTTGCACCTGAACAGGACTGACCCAGAAATGCTTCCCAGTCAGCTCAGCCAAGTGAGAGTGCACTACATGGTGCTTCTCTCTTTCTTAAACTCTTGCACCTGTAGTTCCTGATCACTTACCCAGTCTTTGTATTTCCAGCATTCTCTCAGTTTGTGTTTTCTTTATTGTCTCTATTTCAATTTTGATATCTTGAACTGTTTGAATTGTTTCCTTCATCTGTTTGATTGTTTTTTTCTTGGCTTTCCTTGCTTTCTTTAAGAGATTTGTTGATTTCTTGTTTTTTTTTTTTCTTCTTCCATTTCTTTAAGGGGTTTTCTCATATCCTCTTTGAGGGCCTCTATCATTTTCACGAAATTGTTTTTAAGGTCATTCTCTCCTGCTTCATATGCATTGGGATGTTCTGGTCTTGCTGGTGTAGAGTCCTTAGACTTCAGTGGTGTCATATGGTTTTTCTGTTGTTGAATGTATTTTTATATTGTCTTCTTCCTATCCGTTTTTCCAGTGAGTGCAGAAAAGTCACATCCTCTCCTGGTGGGTATGGGGCCAAGGTTCCCTTCTAGTGGGTGCAAGCAGATCCAATAGTCTAGATGGTGCTCCTCTTCCTGGTCCCTTGAGCAGAGAAAGGGACTAGAAGGCTGGCTGGCAGTCTCTGGCTGGGCTGGACCTTGCTGGGATGAGATCCACTGTTATTCTTTTCCTTAAATTAGAAATAAAGAAGGGTGCAGGATGAGAAACAAGATGAGATATATTAACCAGGTTTTTATAGACCCAGCAGAGTAGAGAGACTAAGAGAGAAGAAGAACAAGGTTAATGGCTGACTGCCATGGCCCGTTGCCATAGAGAGGTAGAGAGAGCATAAGAGAAGAGGCAGAGAGAAGAGAAGGAGATGCAGAGAGAGTGAAGCAGGGAAGTTGGAACTTTTAAAGGGAGACTGCTCATGCCCACTGAGGTTCCACATATGCCCAGAGTCCTCACGTAGGCCTTAATGTGTGGCAGGTGACGTGGTGTGTCAGGGCATGGGGTCTGTCTCTTAAAGAGGTAGAGCCAATCAGCATTAATGCCTGAACCTTTCACCCAGAGTCCCCAGGCCTCAGGTGGTCTGATCAGGGTACTGGAGGGTGGGCCGGAAACAGGCTCAAGCATATCTAGTCCCTTGTGCACAGAAAGGGTCGATGACACTGGCTGGAAATCTCTTGATGGTCTGGACCTCACTGGGATGGGATCCGCAGGACCCAGGCCTCTATGTTTCTATTTCTTATCTTTTTCCAGTGGTTTGTTATTCTCTCTCCAGTAGTCTTCTCCTCTTCTTCTAATTCTTCCTCTGCATCCCCCTCCTTCTATTTTGCTTTCTTCTATTTTTTAAAAGATCCAGTGAATGTTCATCACGAGCACCCTTTTCAACTAGCTTACAATAATTTATGATCTCTCTTTATTTTAAAATTTTGTATCAGATGTCACTGAATCCAAGTAATTTAAAAATTGATTACTAGATGTGTTCCTTTACACTTAAGCTCCCAAAAGAATAAAAGCACTTAGCATATGACTTACTCCTAAAAGTAGCTGCTTGAAACAAGTTGTGCCATGAGGTCCAATCCTAACAGGGCCAACTGGGTATTGAGTTTGTCCTAGAATAGATTTAAAGAAAATTCATGGATAGCCAATCAAAATGAACAAAAACCCCCAAAGCAACAAACAACAAAATTGTCTCTCCCCCCAAAAATTCAAAACCACCTTAAACAAAAAAAGATTAGTTAAGGTAGGAAAAAGCTCTCAAAAGACAATAAAGGTGATTTTTAAAATATAAATTTAACCATAAAATATTAATTGAAACTTGCATTTGTACTTCTGTGTATTTTAAAAATCATAGTTCATAAGTTTATTACTTATATAATTTTAACCACTTATTTCCTATACCACTTATTCTAAACGTACTTACCTTTTCAGATTCTATTCCCATATTTTTAAGTTAGAATTAAATGTGACACAATAAAAATCAATGACTTGTACCATTAATGGTTGTTAAAAATAATTCACACTGTGGCAGCAGATGTCTTTGTACTTTCTTACTTTTAATAGGATAATCACTGATGGGATTTTATTATTTTAATAAGCCATATTTCTATTTAAAGTATGTGTATATTAATCAACATGTGAAGTAATGTTAATTCAATTTGAGTAATAATTAAAAGTATCCTCTCTGGGTCTTGTTTTATGGTATACATTTTTGTGAGGAGATTATTTGGCAGTTTTGAATTTATGTTGTTGGCTGAATGTGTAGCTTATGTGTGTGAATGTATGTTTATGTTTGATATTTAGGATGACTTGAAGAAATGATATACACCTGTAATTCCAGAATTTAGGAAGTTGAGGTTGGAGGACCCCTGAGAATATGAGTTCTAGACCATCCTAGGGAAATAACGAGACTCCGTCTTTAATAAATAAATAAATAAATAAATAAATAAATAAATAAATGCTTTATTTTTGTTTACTTGGAAAATCCTTGGATCACTAATATTTTTATACTCTCAGTATTTTAAATGAATTTCTGTGAATTACATCTCTGTAAATCTAACATTTTTATTTAAGAATGACAACATCAGGCCTCAGGGGATAGCTCAGTGGGTAATGACCCTGACTTTGACATGACCTGAGTTAGAATAATGAGTACCAATAACAAAAGTGGGCATACCTGTGAGTGTCTGGAATGCCAGCTTTAACAGCCAGAGACAAGCTAGATTGTCTCAAGTTGAGGGTGACGAAGGAAGGTACCTGCTGCTTTGCTGTGGTCTTCTCACGCATGCACACAGGAGTATGCACCTATGCACCAATACATTGATGTGCATGCCATACACACACACACACACACACACACACACACACACACACACGCAGGCATGCACCATATCAGTAAATTTAACAATCATCTGTGAGTAGTATCTTTAATTTAAGGAAAGGCCTAAGACAGCTAGTTGCCAAGCATTTCCATTTAAAGTCTCAGGTGGTACACTTTGGTCTATCTGATTGATGAATTGTTTCTAAAGGAAAGATTGATGTCATCATTACTCTGTTTGTATCCTGAATTTTCTGTCTTGGTATTTTTAGGGTATTTACATATTCCAGTGAAAATCAATGGAGTGTATAAAAATCTTGGTGAGTCTGATTGAGTGATTTTTTTTCTCTACATACTCATGTGTTTGTAAACCAAGCAATGCAATTATGTCCTTAGTTAATGAAGCAGTCCTCCTCTCTTCTTCCACCATGTGACTCTCCACAATGAACAGTGACACATTTTAATTTGCATAATTTCTTTCCACTGTTTATCTTCATTCTCTTCATAATTTTAACACCTCCTTCTCTCCTGTGATCCTTCAGTGGGAGATTTCCATGTTTTATATGATTTTATAATTTGAATATATATTATGCAAATGTATTTTTCCTTAATTGGAGTTTTAATTGTCCTGTTCTTCATCTGATTCTCTTTTTTATAACCTTTAAAATTTGCCTCAGTAGCTCCTTTCTCTTGCTCTTAAAATGACATTGTTTTCTTCTGTTCTGAATAAGAGTGCTATAAAAAAGAATTAGCAATTAATTCTACACCTGGTAATAAATGCAACATTTTTCTGATGACTATTTAGATGTAGGTCTTTCCCCCTTATTTACATAAAAGGGATTTTACTGGTTAATTGCTCATTACTTCTTCTGGGACCAGACAAAGTCTAGTAGTCCTTGTAACCAAGTAGCTGTTTGGATTATCTGATTATATTTCACACTTGTCCTAACATGGTGATAAATGAGGTAGATGTGTATGACTCCTACAATTTGTTCTGCATAGCAAGTTTGTATCCACCATGGGTTTACATGTTCCTCCTTACCTTCTTCCTTTTCTCTGGTACTTACTATTTATGCAGGATCAAAGCTCTTCTAATTATGTGTCCATTGTCAAGCTGGGAATATTGTGCAAGTGTTATAGATCTTAGATTGGCTTCCTTCCTCTAAATTACTGTGGCAATAAAGCTTCTGTACTTTTGAATTAGAATTATAAGTATTTTATCTTATGTCAATATTAAAATAATATTTTTGGTCAGGCATTGGTGGTGTACACCTCCCAGCACTTGGGAGGCAGAGGCAGGCAGATCTCTGTGAGTTTGAGGCCAGCCTGGTCTACAGAGCAAGAGCCAGGATAGGCTCCAAAGCTACACAGAGAAACCCTGTCTCGATAAACCAAAAAAAAAAAATTTTGTTCTTTCTTTCATTGTTCTGTGATCAAGTTTTAAATTTAATTCCTGAATGAAGCTTGCTAATGCTTTTAAAGTATTTGACAAGTACTGAAAAAATTTATTTACTATATAGAATTACCAAATTAATGTTCTAGAAGTAGTACAAACCTATGCTCTCATGAAAATCTTCTATACTTATGCTTATTCAATAATTCACAATTCTAGCAAACTGTGAAAAGCTAAATATAAAGCAGCCAATATTTCACCACCTTACAATACTCACTGCTATTGAACATTTTTAGTTATTTCACTTTATGGCCTTCATCCTTCTAGAATGGGTAGATGGATAGATAGAAACTTGATAGATGATTGTAGAAAGATAGGTGATAATGGACAGATAAAGGTATCTTATCCTTGTGCCACTATGTGATTAATATCTTCAGAATTAATGCAATTGTTTATTTCATTAATTCTAATCTTATAAAAAATAATTTCAATACTTGTGTATAATATATACATACATCACACATACATGTAAAACTCCAAAACAGCATTTTATCATTGCATTCTCTCAGCATTTGTTTATATGCATTTTTGTGTATCTACACTCATCAATTTTATTGGAATTATTTCTCTTTTCTTTCTCTGTCCTCTTTTTCTCTCCTCTTTCTCTTTCTCTTCTCCTCAGAGTCTTGCTATCTCACAAAGGCTAACTTTGAACTGGAGGTACTTCTGCCTCACTCTTTCAATTGCTGGTATTCTATGCCATAGAAGGATTTTTTCACTACTTGAAGTTTATAACCAAAATGGCATCGTATTATTTTGGTTTGTATTAATATGAGTAATGATGAGATAAATGTGTTTTCTTTTCTAATAAGTAAGTATATTCCTGTAAAGCTGTTGTGGACATTCACAATCAATTTATCTACCTTTACTGCGGACCTTTCTGTGTGATTAATAATAGCAATGATTTCAGAGTCTGACACATCTATTTTATAAGAATGTTTGTAATTTTAATCTATCATATTTGTTCATATTTGTCATTATTTGTATTACTTCGAGTTCAGGAAGCCTTTTTGCTTGATTCATGTACAGCTTTGGCATTGTGGTTACTCAGTAAATCATGTCAACGTGCCAATGACATAGGATTCTCATGTTCATTTGTATAATATCACACCGATAAAACTGCAATTTTATCCTAATGCTCAGATTAACTTTTTTTTCTTTACAGAGAATAATAAAACATGTCTTGAATTCTCAAAATTAAATGCAATGAATTCCTTAAAAGATTTGTTTTCCCCCAAACTAAAGATAAATCTGATGATGTATTCAAGGGATGATCTAAACTGTGCAGAACCACTCTTTGAGTCTAATAACACCCTTAATGTACGTTTCAACCTGTCAAAGAGAACTGTCTGGATTATCCATGGATACAGACCTTTGGGCTCCACCCCAAAATGGCTTCATAAGTTTTCTAAGGTGTTCTTGAAACAGGAAGATGTGAATCTCATTGTGGTAGATTGGATCCAGGGTGCCACAACTTTCATTTACAGTAGAGCTGTTAAAAACACCAAAATAGTTGCTGAGAGATTGAGTCAATCCATTCAAAAGCTTTTGGTAAGTTTGAGAAATTTAAAGTATGCATGCTACACAATATATGGTTTGTTGTGTGAAACCATGAAATTAATGTTTTTCCCATAAGTGTTTGGAAGTTTTGCTTAGATATAGTGATATTTTTAATCATATTTTGTCGGTTCTAAATAATGATTTTAAATGTTTTTAAAATGTGAAAGCCTTTTATTTAAGACTGTTAAAAATTTAAAGCTCTTTCAAACCCTGAATTCAGGATGAATTAGTGATATTATGTGGGGAGTGAACATTGCTGTAATCTTATTACATTTTTTAGTCATCTGGCTAATGTGTTTGTGGTTAGTCAAATGGCAATTGGTAAATATAGAAGAAAACAGTTTCCTCTGGAAAGTAGTTTACTCCCAACTCTGAATATAGTTCTCAGTTTCCGTCAGATCTGCTGAGTTTGAGATGGATCAAAATTCAAGGCTGGTTGGAGGTCATCTGTGTTTTGAATAATTTTTGTTTCCTTTGCCAAACTTTATGGTATTTCATATATGTCCTTAGAATTGGTAGTGATAGTATGTTTTTCAGAAAAAGAAAGGCCATATTTTATTTCTTAGAGTGTCCTTAGTTTTGAAGTCTGAATTTTTGTTGTTGTGGACTTCCAAACCTATGGTAAGTTGAACAAGCATAACAAAACCTGGAGTTTCTGGCTATAGGGAATTGAGGCTCAAGTCTGTCACCTCTCATCTGTGTGACTTTGAGCAATCATTACACTTCTCTACCAAATGTCTTTTTTATACATTCCAAGTAACAAAATTCTATTGTATGTTGTAAGATTATTAAGTTAATATAGAAATACATATATATGCCATTGTGTATAGGCTTAATCAAGACATGGCATTGACTAATTGGTATGTAAAAACATTTTTTAATTATTAGTTTTGAGTCTACAATTTTAAAAATGTTGTGACCCAAGAGAGAAGGGAGGAAATAATTGACATGGAGGAGATTGACAGTGTATAAAACTGAATAATTGACTTTTTCACCAATTATGATCATCTCTAACTGATAAACAGGAACTTTGTAATGTGGAAAGTTTGAGTCAAATAGAGAATTTAAGGAAAAATCATAGCATTTTGCTTTCAAAGGATTTATAGGCACTGGGAGAAAAGTAGCCAAAGCTTTGTGGTTTGTAGAAATTAGTCCTTCAGCTTCGGGGACATTGCTTTGAGGAATTTGAAGAACAGTATTGCTCTGTGCTGGGAAAGTCTCCTTCTAGCTCTCTAATAGTGGTAAAAGTTCAACATCATTTTATAAGCCTTCGGACATCACTGTGTAGTCTGGACCATCACCAAGTCCTATTAGCTCCCTGGGTGTCTGTGGGTTTTGCACTGTGGAAGAGCCAAATAAGCTCCTTTAGGTGTCCTTTATCAGGACTTAGCCCTACTCTTGAATGCCAACTTTGTATTACCACCACTTTCTCTATGTCCCACTCCCTACACAAACCATAACATTAAAGGTTAGAATTTCAGCATATTAATTTTCAGAGGCATGAACATTCAGACTTTAGGGACTTAAAATTCCTCTTCATATGGAGCTGTGTACATGTCAGTAATGTCTGAGCCTTTTTCCTTAATAAAATGGGTATGCACTGGATGTTATTAAGTTAGTGTTTAACAGGTGCCAGGTAGAGTTTTAAGTAATAGGATATATATGAATAACTCAATATCAAACAGTAATACTAAATATGAAACTTACAAAGCATGTGTTGAGGTACTGTGCACAAAATAAGCAGCCAATCATGCCCATTATTACTATTTGTTCATTAAATGCTTTGATAATTAAATGTAATTTTATGTATCTCATTCTACATTGTGGATGATTAAAACTCAAATTTGCAGGTAAAGTTTAGTGATGTTACTGGAAATGAATAGAGAAAAATTAGATATTTCAGGGATGCAAGCTGAATAAAGCAGTATCTTTTCAAAGTTGCAAGTCCCTTTCCTTATGTCCCAGAATTAGATGAAGTCAAAATCAATAATAGATTTCAAGGTTAATATATTAGGCATAGTTTGTGATTACCCCAAATTAAAATCATTACATTGTGTTTTCAATTACAGAACCATGGAGCGTCTCTTGACAATTTTCATCTCGTTGGCATGAGCTTAGGGGCTCATGTCAGTGGTTTTGTAGGAAAAATATTTAATGGGAAACTTGGAAGAATTACAGGTAAAACTGTATTTTTCCTTTTGCAAAATTATTATTTTAGCACATTTCCACACAAGATTTTGTTCTATTTAAAACCTGAAGGCACTCCTGCAAACTATATTAAAATATTACATTTTACTAGATTGTTAATTCTTCCACAGTGATTATGATGAACATGAAAATCAAGTATTGAATTCTGTAGCTTTATCTAAATGTCAAAGACTACATGGGAAAATGTAGCCCATTCAGCTAAAAAATGTTCATCAACTAAAAATATTAGCTATTATAGTTCATTTTCAAGAGCACTGTTGCATTTTAATTCTTTTATGCATTCACTGGAGTACTAGACAGATCAGGGGTTGCTATTCAAGTGTGAAACATGCTCTTTCTCATGTTCACTCAGATTCACACAGTCAACTTAGCTGTAGTTAAAGGCACCAGCCACATGGTGCTCATATAGAACTCCATCCCTTGTGTCAGGCTTATTAAGAATTTATTCATACCCTTATTACCAGGATGCTTATAATTCCAATTATTTATAAAGGATAACATTGTCTTAATAAAATCTCATAAAAGAAAGAAAGGAAAGGTGAAATTAGTCATATTAATGCATATGCTTACTTATGTTTTGCTATGCTGCCACACAACTACAAAAGTCTAAAGACCAAAAATATAGATTTCTTACAGTAGAAAATTTAGAGGAAGAGAGAGGTTGGGTATTCTGTCAAGAAGACTAACAAAAAGAGGGAGAATAGAAGAGTGTGAAGTGAACAATAGTTAAAGTAACATTAATTTATACAGAAATGTGTAATAAAGACAACTTGTGAAAATCAGTTTTTTTCCCCTTCTGTCATGTGGGTCTGGGAAACTGGATGTCTCTTCCTCAATGAACCAAAATTCTATTCCCACCCCTTTGCTATCAGAAAGTTGTGATCTTAGAATTTTAGTTTAGAATTCATTCTATAGAACAATATCCACATTGTATGGAATTTATAACATTTTTCCTTAAGGATGTATAGGAAACTCTTGGGAGAGATGAATGCTAAGAAAATAGCAAATTTGTCCCGTTAATTGACCTGAATAAAATTGGTATCTAAAAAGTATTTTAAACCTATAGACAGATACGGGATGAGGCAAATAATTCGAGAGGTTCAGATGATATTCATTAGCCCTTCTCCTCAATCAGAAGGGATCTCAGTTACTATTAAATATAAAGTTTCATGGCTTACTCTATCTACTCCTTAGATAAAGATGATAAAAATATCATAAATATCATAACATTTTGTTGAGATATTTCTCCTGCTTTTGGACCACCTTTGAAAGTTGCCAATAATATTTAAATAATGAAGGCACTTGTCATTTGTCAAATTTAATAACTTTAGATATATTTGGGCAGGTTTAAACCAAAATTGCAAATACTTATATTTATAATTGACAATACTGCAAGTGTAAAATAAAACAAAAGTAGTAAAACATAATTAGATTCATAGTTATTGTTTTGCATTTCAGGTCTTGACCCAGCTGGACCAAAATTTTCTGGAAAACCATCAAATAGCAGATTAGATTACACTGATGCAAAGTTTGTGGATGTCATTCATACTGATTCCAAAGGTAAAATAATAAGTATCTATGAGTTTTTTGTTTAAAAGCAAAATGTGGAATGTAAATCCCAAAGAAGAGGTTGTAAGATAACAGAGAACTGTAGATAAACTCTTTCATAGTTCAATGAGACTTTTTTCTTTTTGCATTGGTTTCTGGTATTGTTTGCATTGTGTTTATTTATTTATTAGGTGTCTTGTCACTGTAAACATTGAAATTTCCGTTAGAAATAATTATCTTTGTTTTATTGGCAGTCATTGACTTGGTAATATTTCATGCCATGCTCAATGATACTATTTAGGTTACTATTCATTTTTCTTTCGTCATGTATGCCAACTGGAGCTGGACACATTAAAGTCCCAGATAAGGACTATTTTTCTATAGGGAGAGAACAATTTCTCTATTGCTTTTAAAATGTTCTCTAATGGGATGTTGGTTAGAAAATGTTGGATAAATTCATTAGAAAAATGATTGAAACTGTCCTGAGGCCTTTTTTTTTTTTTTTTTTTTTTTTTTTTTTTTTTTTTTTTTTACTGAATGAATGAGTTTAATAAGTTAGAGTGTGAGAGGAACCTGATTTTGATTCATTTCTGGATAAGAACCTGGTGATATTAACACTGACTAAATTCTTCATACACCTCAGTGAGTCTCTTGATTACTCATCAAACTCACTTCAATGTTATTTTCTACATGTATGTTATATAGCCATGTTTATAGTTGTACTACTTACAATAATAAGGCATTGAAGCAGTATATCCAGGAATGGTTAAAAACATACAGAAATTTATAGAGCCACAAAGAAAATGAAATCATGACATATACAGGAAAATGGATGAAAAAAGGGAAGTCATTACATTAAGCAAAATAAGCCAATCTTAGACAAATCTTCCTTTTTGTTTACCCAGTCTAGATTTAAAATTATATATATGGGGGCTACAGAGATGGCTCTGCGGTTAAGACCATGCACTGCTCTTTCAGAGAGTCAGGGTTTCATTCCCAGCACTGATAACAGGTTTTTCACAACTGCCCCATAACTCTAGCTCCAGGGGGTACCAAATACTTCTGGCCCCCACAGACACCTGCAGTCATGTACATATGCCCCACACAGACAAACCCACATAGGAGTTATTAAAATAGATCTTTAAAGTTATGTTTTTGTACATGTGTATTTTTATATGTGTGTGTACAGTGTATAAGTTCTTAAACTACAAAGGGAGTTATCAGAGTGGGTGGAGGGATATTATGGGAGAGGTGAAGGGGTAAGACAGTGATGGTTATAAACACCTGTGAAGAAACTATCTAGGAGAACAAAGGAAACTATTGGGATGGACCAGGCCACCAGGGAGGTCAGTTTGAGAGGAAAACAAATGAGGACCAAGATTATGAGATAGAATGTATGAAAACCATACTTTAATGATATGCTAAAAATCATTAGAGAAGTTAATTTCAAAAGTGTAAAAAGCCATGTCTGATATCTACACCTTCCATAAACCAAAGGAGTGACTCATCTAACCTTACTAAACTGGTTTGCTACCCTGTGTCAATAGCATGTCTGCCTCAAGGGCCATTTGTGAGTTCATAATAAATCCCTATTGTTTCTGCCCAATGGCTGAGTAGCCCTCTTGTTTTATCCTATTTCATTGGCAGGTGTGAGATGTGTCCCAACAGGTGCTTCTTGTTCTTTTTGGTGTTCATGTTGAAATCCCTCCAAATAGCTGACTTTCTTCTATGGCAGTAGTTTTCAACCTTCCTAATGCTCTGAGTCTTCTTTGGTGATATGTTGTTTAGGTTCTAACAAAGCTTGCCTAGAGATCAGCATGCAAAGCTATTCACAGTCATAGAAGCTGGGCAGTGGTGGCATGCACCTTTAATCCCAGCACTCAGGAGACAGAGGCAGATGGATCCCTGTGAGTTCAAGGCCATCCTGAGATACGTAAGAGTGAATCAGTCTAAAAGGGAAATAGCTCACACCTTTAATCCCAGCACTAGAGAGAATATAAGGAGCTTAGTGTAGTCTCAGGAGCAGGCTGAGAATTTGGTGAGGAGCCGTGCAGTCTGGAGATGCACCCTGAGGTTCGGTGGATTGCCCTTTCAGTCTGAGACGAGCATTGGTAGAGGTAAGAACTCTCAAGTGGGCTGGCTGCCTTGCTTTTCTGATCTTCAGCTTGAACCCAACATTTGTCTCTGGGTTTTCATTATTCATGTTACACCTTCAATACAGTTCTTCATGTTGTGGTAACCCCCAGCTGGAAAATTATTTTTGTAGCTACTTCATAACTATAATTTTACTATCTTTGCGAATTGTAATGTAAATATCTGATATGCAGGGTAGCTGATGTGTGACCCCCAATTGGATCATGACCCATAGGTTGAGAACCACTGTTCCAGGGTCATGTTTAGAATACTTGCATTCTTTAATCAGCAAGTGAGTGACTAGGTTATGGGGCTGAAAGAGGGATTCTCCATTGCTACAGTGAAGCCACATGTTCTTTTATGGAGTATGAGGATTTCCAGGAGAACAATTTAAGATGGCACATTACTGGATTCTGTTGTATGAGCTACTTATATTGAGTTGCTGTGACACCAAACCATGTTCAGACACTAATGTTTATCTGAAGCATGTACTAACATGAAATTGCTTGTACCCTAAGCTAAAGTGTTTCCATATTATCTGGCAGGAAGATTTTGTATGGAAGTACAGTCCCAAGTTTTCTGAGACTGATAACTTTTCTTAGGCTCCCCTGGGTTATAGATTGCAATATTGGTAATGAATTCAGAATATGAACCTTCTCCAGTGCCCTGGAAATCCACTGGTTTAGAGAATCCCCTAAATCATAGCCACATGGCCTCATGCCACCCTAGCTCAAATTGTCCTCAGGAAGGCAGCAAGCTTTGTATGTTTTGCCCCTGAATAAATCTAACATCAGCAAATCCAGGGCATCATCAGCCGAAGTGGGAATCAAGAATCACACTGGCCTGAGAGGCTGCATGTGACCTGATGTTTTTTCTTCCTGTGGTGATATCTTAGCCAGTATATCTTAGCCAGTTTCTTTGTGGACCCCAATTTGTTCCTACATAGCCTTCTGACTCACTGTCTCCTATCCTTCACATATCCATTTCAGTGGTCAAACTTCTAAACCTCTCAGTGAGAACTTCTCTAGCCAGACTACATTAAATAAACTTGCATTTTAAATTTCAGCTTTTAAAAGTGTGCAATGTCTATCCTTGCCAGATGTTTTTCCCCTCCTTTCCATTGCATTTATTGCTTTCTGATAAGTAGTTCTCTTATTTTCTCCTATGTTTTTCTCTACTACAAAGATTTTCCTTTTTCCCCCAAAGTGTAATGGTTGTCCCACAGTAAACAGGTGAATAAAAAAATGTGTGAAATTTTTAACACATGATTTTCTTGAGAATTTTTGAGAAGGTAGTGTCTGAAAACTGCTATTTAAAGAATTGCATCTATGTACTATGGCTCATATCTGTAATGTTAGAATTTAAAAGGCTGAAGAAAGAAGATTGTTCTACATTTGAGGCCAGGCTTTGGTTACATATTGAGTTCCAAGGTAGTTTGGGATATTGCTGATATCCATATCGCAAAAGTAGGGAAAAAGGAGGAGTCGGAGGAGGGGAAGAAGGCGGGATGGGGAAGGGGGGAGGAGAGAGACAGAGGCAAGAATTTCTAGAGACACAAGAAACTGACAAAGATAAACTTGTCATTTATCATTGATTCAGACTTCTGAAGAGCAAGTTTATTAGATGTTAGCAGATTTTGCTATATGATTGCTCAAAAAACTTTATATGCTTTATAATTTTATGTCTGCCTTTTTCCCTAGGTTTAGGCATTCTAGAGCCACTGGGACATATAGATTTTTACCCAAATGGGGGAAAACAACAGCCAGGTTGTCCTACAAACCTTTTTTCAGGTATATTAAAAGTATTTTCATTTTTTTCTTTTACTGAAAATAGATTTTCATACAATGTATTCTGACTATAATTATACATGATTCAAAATGATATGGGAAAATAATTTACCAATTTGCTTTCTTAAAACCAGTGGATAATATTTTGATATCATATTTTTTGTTAATGACCTAGGGGAGTTATTGTCAAGAAATAATTTAAATTGATACCATCCAATATACATAGGTTACTAGCATATCCAACATTTGGTCAAGGATGTGTTCTTTTTTGTGTGGTTTAAACAATTTTAGTTCATCATTTTAAGCACAAAGGAACTTTGAGTTGTCTAGAAAAACACATATAGACAAAGTGTCCTAGGATTTGAGTTTTATCCCACAACTTAGCCTTTATGATCAGCATATTACCACGTATGGACAGATTTTTAACCTTGGCTACTTGGTTGTCCCATACATGGAGTGATGTGTGTGGCCTCTGAGTGTGGACTGGGGCTCACTTCAGCCCCGTGGCAATTTACTTGTGTGTGACTAGACAAGTTTGAACTAAAGGGAAAAATGTGGAAGATTGGAAAAGGGAAGTTAGGCTATGAGCTGTAACACCACTTGCCTCCAGAGACATGTTCAATCTTGGATCAAAAGTTCAGGGGTTTAGAATTAGAAGAGAAAGACACTATCGTAGTAAACATTGAAGCAGTGTGCTTGTTCTTCCTGTTACATTTAAACAGCCATACTATATGGTTTATTACTTTATGCAGATATCTTATTTATTTCATGGAAAGTAATGTCCAATTTAAGATTGTAATGGGACTTTTTAATAGGTTGAGATGCAACTGTATTGTGGTCAATATTTTGTATACAGAAGGAACACAGAATTTAATGTAACTTAATGGTCAGTTTTTCTCTAATTCACTTGAATTGCTTCCATGTTTTTACAATTGTTTTGTTTATTATTCTCACCCTTAAGGAGTTAATTACATAAAATGTGACCATCAGAGAGCAGTTTACTTGTTTATTGCAGCTTTTGAAACAAACTGCAATTTTATTTCATTTCCTTGTGGCTCCTACGAAGATTACCAGAAAGGTTTATGTATGGACTGTGGGAAACTTTATAAAGACTCCTGTCCTAGGCTTGGTAAGGGAACTTGCATTTCTTACAATCCCTTTTGAAGATAAGTAACATCATTGTGATAGTATATTAGACTGTATTTCATATTCATCATATTCATCTGCTAATATATTATGGTTTGGGGGAAAGTATCAATGGGGATAATGGTATACACAGATTTTATATTTCCTACCATTTTCCCTAAAGAATTTGCTCACTCCTCTTTGCTATACGTACAGGCAGAAACTTCTACATTCTGCATTCTTTTACATTTAGTAGGAAATCTTAGGCACAAATGAAGAGAGGTGCATCATAGCTAGCTTTACATTTGCTCCCAGCAGGTAGTCAACAATTACCTCGTCTTGGCTTAGTATAAATATATCCATATATCTTGTTAGTATCATGAAAAGCTTTTCCAGAGATGTTTGCATAGTCAAAGGTTCTCTAGGAATGGGAGATGATTAAGAGGACTGAAATGATCCCAGTGCAACAAGCTTTGCTCAGCCTTACTGCCTGTACATGGAACATTGCTATATAAAGTATGATCCATCCAGGATTTGTCAAATCCATATTTTCATAGATTTCTTCTGTCTACAAGACATAATTTGGGAATTCACTTATCTTATATTGGTAGATGGAATTGGTTTTCTGGTGGCATTGTTTTTCCAAGGATGAGCTAGTGTTAATAATTCTGAAATTTAAATGAAGTATTCTGGCTACCAGAGTAAAAAGCTTTGAGGTAGAAATAAAGAGGCACTTGAATATATTTGATATATTACTAAATTAATATTCTGTATTCACATATATAAGAAATATATTCAATACATAGAGTTTATCTGTGTATTTATGTTTATTACATAATACAACATAATACAACAATGTATATACAGGATAATTTTGGGGCTTTATTCACAGAGCTAAACTGCATGTTCAAATTTTATATAATCACTTATTCTGGTGAATTTACCAAAAACAGTTATGCATAAACTTCTGAATGTATAATATGACAAAAATCTGAATCAAGTGGATCTCGGTTATCCAGATTATGCCAAGTTCTAACAGGACTTTCAGAGACTGGGGTGACTTTTGTGAATCTTGAGTATGAGTACATAGAAAATTGATGTAAAGTATCTTACATATTTTCAAGGTACCTTTTAATCTCTATTTGATGGTGTAAATTGATAGTTAAGGACTTTAGTGATCTAAAGAGTTTGTGTGTGTGCTACTTGATGGAATTCAATCCTGTATCTATTTCTTAAATCTTAGGTAATAAAGCTAAACTATGGGAAGAAGGTTTGAAGAAAGGAATAGAAGGACAACCTCTCAGGACCATTGCATTTTTGGATACTAGCAGTCAATATCCATTCTGTAGTAAGTTGTTAGAATTTAAATAAGTGAACCATTATGTACAAGCATATGTTATTTCAGAATGACTGAAACCATGGTTATAATTACTTTTTAAGTATGGATTTGTCTTGGTTTCTAAACCTGCAAATTGAAGAATCAAGTTACTTGCTCCCAAGTACACAGTTAGCTAAGTGTAAGAAGCCAGGCAATCTCAATCATGGGAGAAAAGAATAGAAAGACAATGGAGTCAACATTTCCAAGCAATTTTAGAATCAACCCAGGATATCTCCATTTAGTTTTGAGCCCTAGTTGGCCAGGATTTCAGCACTCATATCTCCATGTTTTTGGTGCTCTTCTCCTCCTCCTCTTCTTATTTCTCTTCTCTAGCTGCTTACCTCACCTTTTCTCCTCCAACTACTCCTTGCATCAAATATTCATTCGTATTTCATAACTTCAGCTTTCTATAAATATATCTTAACTCTCCTGTGTCTCACTTTTTCTTCTCATTGTTAATTACTTCATTGCTAAAATAAAGCCTAATGATGACTTTTCAGCAGTCATTTTGGCCAATTACTTTTAAAGCTTTAGTTTTTAAAAAGTGTGTGTGTGTGTGTGTGTGTGTGTGTGTGTGTGTGTGTGTGTGTGTGTGTGTCTGTGTGTGTCTCTCTGTGTGTGTGTATGTGTGTATGTTTGCCTGTGTGTGTGTGCATGTGCACATGCTCATAAATGCTGGTGCTCACAGAGACCAAAGGTATTTTGTGGATGGACATTTCTGTCCCACCTAGTCTTAAACCCTTTCAGTCCCAAATAAACACACAGAGGCTTATATCAATTATAAATTGTTTAGCCAATGGCTAAGGATTTTTTATTGGCTACTTCTCTCTTAATTATCAGCCAATTTCTGTTAATCTGTGTATCTCCAAATGGTCTTATCTTACCAGAGAATTGCTGACATCCTACTTTCCCTGTAGCTACATGGTGTATCGATGGAGACTCACTCTCTGTGTTCATCTTCCAAGCATCCTCCTAGCCTGGTAGCCCTGCCTATACTTCCTGTCTGTACATTGGCTGAAAGAGCTTTATTTGTCAACCAATAAAAGAACCACATATTCACAGCATACAGAGGAACATCTCACATCAGTATTTGATCCCCAGGAGCTAGAATCGCAGGCATTGGTCAACCACCTGACATGTCAGCTGGGGTTCAAACTTACATATTCTGCAAGAGCAGTAGGCCTTCTACTCTGTGAACAAAATTTCTCTAGTTCATTGTGAGCCCTTTTTGGTTTAGATTAACATATTCCTGCATATATCTAATTGATTTATAAAAGCTCCAATAAACTATACACAGTTATTTAACTTCATTACTATTCCTCAGTAGGCAAAGAAAGTGATGATTAAAGTTGGTAAGCACATTTAGCTGTATATATTAATCAGGTGATCAAGAGACTTATAATATTTACATGTGTTCCTGAAAAAGAAAATGTTATTTCATATTATTCTTTCATTTGATTTTATGTTTGGAGGCAAGTTAGAAGGTAGTGTTGATGTAACCAAATTATCACCATGCTCAAATACCATACTCAAATTGACGATTGACAGGCAGGTTCTTATTCCTCAAAACCTGACTTTTTTTTTTGGTTTCCTATAATGATGTGACTGCTAGTATATTTGCTACACTTCAGGGCAGATCCCACTCCCAGGAATAGTTGGGCACATGATCTATACTCAATGGGGAGAAAAAATTAGAAAACTCACAAAGTTGGGTATTAGGGAAGTAAGGGTGGAATATGCAGGGTGTGGGTATAGTTGGGGAGAGGTGAGCATGGATAGGGTCAGAAGAAAGTCTTTGAAATTCCTAAAGAATTATAAAAAACATTTGGAAATAACCCAATAAGAAATAGAATGCATAATCCACTGATAAAATGATTCTACCTGAAATTTTTATTTGCATACAAAATACAGGACTATGTGTGTATGTTTGCCTGTGTGTGTGTGCATGTGCACATGCTCATAAATGCTGGTGCTCACAGAGACCAAAGGTATTTTGTGGATGGACATTTCTGTCCCACCTAGTCTTAAACCCTTTCAGTCCCAAATAAACACACAGAGGCTTATATCAATTATAAATTGTTTAGCCAATGGCTAAGGATTTTTTATTGGCTACTTCTCTCTTAATTATCAGCCAATTTCTGTTAATCTGTGTATCTCCAAATGGTCTTATCTTACCAGAGAATTGCTGACATCCTACTTTCCCTGTAGCTACATGGTGTATCGATGGAGACTCACTCTCTGTGTTCATCTTCCAAGCATCCTCCTAGCCTGGTAGCCCTGCCTATACTTCCTGTCTGTACATTGGCTGAAAGAGCTTTATTTGTCAACCAATAAAAGAACCACATATTCACAGCATACAGAGGAACATCTCACATCAGTATTTGATCCCCAGGAGCTAGAATCGCAGGCATTGGTCAACCACCTGACATGTCAGCTGGGGTTCAAACTTACATATTCTGCAAGAGCAGTAGGCCTTCTACTCTGTGAACAAAATTTCTCTAGTTCATTGTGAGCCCTTTTTGGTTTAGATTAACATATTCCTGCATATATCTAATTGATTTATAAAAGCTCCAATAAACTATACACAGTTATTTAACTTCATTACTATTCCTCAGTAGGCAAAGAAAGTGATGATTAAAGTTGGTAAGCACATTTAGCTGTATATATTAATCAGGTGATCAAGAGACTTATAATATTTACATGTGTTCCTGAAAAAGAAAATGTTATTTCATATTATTCTTTCATTTGATTTTATGTTTGGAGGCAAGTTAGAAGGTAGTGTTGATGTAACCAAATTATCACCATGCTCAAATACCATACTCAAATTGACGATTGACAGGCAGGTTCTTATTCCTCAAAACCTGACTTTTTTTTTTGGTTTCCTATAATGATGTGACTGCTAGTATATTTGCTACACTTCAGGGCAGATCCCACTCCCAGGAATAGTTGGGCACATGATCTATACTCAATGGGGAGAAAAAATTAGAAAACTCACAAAGTTGGGTATTAGGGAAGTAAGGGTGGAATATGCAGGGTGTGGGTATAGTTGGGGAGAGGTGAGCATGGATAGGGTCAGAAGAAAGTCTTTGAAATTCCTAAAGAATTATAAAAAACATTTGGAAATAACCCAATAAGAAATAGAATGCATAATCCACTGATAAAATGATTCTACCTGAAATTTTTATTTGCATACAAAATACAGGACTCTACTGCATGTACCATGTAAGCTTGTGTGTGTTTTTACATATGTGGCAAACCAAAACAATGTTTGAAATATAATATTAATAACATTCTGTATTTTTATTTTGTAGCATATTATTTTAGTCTCAGTATGGTTGCTTTGAATGAAACTATAAGAGATGGATCAATTTCATTCAGTTTACTAAACAGTCTTAAGAAATTGGAATTCCCCAGGATCTATGTGTAAGTACCAGTTATTACTTGCTCCTTTGAGAAATTAAATGCTTGCTTATTTGCATATATACACATGGTTCAATAGATAATTCAGAGTGAATTTTCTAAATGAATAGGCTTAAGTATTAGCAAATTTTACGTATCATGTTCTACTCTTTCATTCTATCGGAACATATTGAATGGGCCACAAATATGGCATGACCACTAATGTTGGGGGAATGGGAGACATCCTTTCTCTCATGTTTTTAACTCTTAATTCCAATATTCCTCCTAATCATCTTGCTTGCTCACTTTCTTCAGTTTTAATAAAATATTATGTTCACAATTTTGTAACTAAAAAGATGATGCCATCAGTCAATGATAGTGACACAAATTTAACACTTAGAGAGCTCCAAATCACAAAGTTCCCAAATATATGTTGAGGTATCTTTTTTTCTCAATTCCAAATGACATTTTACATGTGCATTATTGGATATGCGTATTTCTAAAGTTACTTAATCTTCAAGTCCATTCTCAGCTGGTTTGCTGAACATCCATTTATCTCTTAGATAAATTCTTAAAATAAAATATTTCTCTTCAGCAAAAGAGTGATATAAATGTGCATTTTTTTATTGAAATTACAGTTTTCAATGTACTTGTTTAACTATATAGAAAGCAGAATATTTTTATGTCTGGTGATTAAATAAATGATATACTTTATTTATCTATCAATAGGCCATAAATGGGCTTCAACTTTAACCTGTTATTGGTGACTTTTGAGTCGTAGTAGCAACAGTTGTTATCTCCAACATTTACTGTTGTCATAGCTTAAGTAATTATAATACATGAACTGGCCAGTAGACTAAATATAATGTGTGATGAGTCTTGGATCTGAAGATATTGTGACATACAGATTAGTATGCATGACATACAGCTGTCAACTATGAAAGAGGAAAACCTCCCTGACTGGAAGGAAGTTTAGTTGTCAAACAATGGTTACAACTTCCTTAATGTCAAAATGTGATTAATATTTAATTAAAAATCTGCAATATCATACAAATATATCACCATATCACATACTAAATGTGATATGTAGCACAGAAAAAAATAAATATTTCAAATCTTGGAATCCATGAAGCAGATCACAAGAAAAAAGTTCATGTTGGCAAAATACTGAAAAATCTTCATAGTGAAGTAAAACTAAGAGCTTCCATCGTGGATGCTATATGGTCATTCTCAGAAATGAAATACTGGCTCAATATCAAGCAAGTAAAAATTGAGATAAATATCTTAATATTGTATTCTAATAAGTACAATTAGTAGTGATATGAAAATGCTAATGTAAAACTATTTTTTCTTAAGTTTTCACCTCCTTTCAGTCACTCAAAGAAGATATAGACCATATATAAGAATCTTGATCTAAATTCCTTATTTCTGTCAAGTCCATATTAAGAGAACTTTTCAATGTATTTTCATGTGTATTGTATGTTATAATACTAAGTGCTATTCAGTAAATAGTTCATTAATATGTATCTCTTATATTGTTTATCATTATTAAAAATAAACTTTTAAATTAATTCACTTATTCAGCACATTACTTATAGCTAAACATATTCAGATGTTTTAAGAATGTTGGGGGACTCAAACTGAAATAGCATTTTTGTTCAGAAAGAAGTCACAAAACACTGGTGGAGGCTAATCAATAATTGCATCTGAGTAGAGGGTTTCATGATAGATTACCACTTAATGTTCTGTCAGAAGGCAGAAAAGTAGTAAACACATTTGAAAGTAATGTAATCCCATAAGCAAACTGGGAGAAGTTGCTTTCAAAGGCCCAGAGAAAACAGTGACTATACTCATAAATAGCACAGAGACCAACCTCCTAATGAAATTGCTTCATTTTTTTCCAGTAGGTCAAGAAATTTGTTGTGATTTACTTTGAAAACAGTTACACACTGTGAAATAGTGATGGATTTTGCTCATAATGGATTCAGTATATAAACGATGACATTATTAGTACATGTATACTTATTATAATATGTTCACATAAGCTTGGCTATTGTATTCTACTAGAGTTAATGGGCATTTGAACTTTTGTTTCAATGCTAGAAGAATCAAAGAATCTTAAAAGACCAAGCATTCCCCTTTCAAGACCTGAAACAGGAATATTTGTTCTTTATACAAAATGCACAATATTATACAAAGAAAAATTAGGATCACCTATGATTATTGAATGTATGAATGCTGAACTCGACAGTTGCACTATAATCGCTCTTCTTCTTCTTCTTCTTCTTCTTCTTCTTCTTCTTCTTCTTCTTCCTCCTCCTCCTCCTCCTCCTCCTCCTCCTCCTCCTCCTCCTCCTCCTGATCCTCCTTGGCCCTTTCCTCATCCTCTTCATTCTTCCCTCCTCACCCTCCCTTCTTCTTATACAGAACCTGTGCATAATGTATGTTTTGTTTCATTTTTTATTAGTAAATTAAGACTTGTGCTGGCTCATGATTTTCATACACACTCTTGTGGTGTGGTCATTCTTTCAATGTCACTAAAAAGTACTTGGTTATTAATTACAGTCTGATTTGAAATGGAATGTTTTGTAAACTTAGGATTTTATTTATTTATTTTTCTATATTGATTGTGCACATTTGTGGGTGTGTGTATGTGGGGAGGGTGCACAAGTATTGAGTCTCTGCTCTCATCACGTGGCTTCCAGGAATGAAAGACAGACTGTCAGGTTTGGTAGCCTTTACCCACTAAGCTATATCACCTGCCCTCATGGTAGGCTTTTAAATAAGAAATATGGCTACTAGATGTTCAGATTAGAGCAGTCCATCCAATGAATTATAGTTAGATTAAAGGAAATTTTAGAGTCTTCATAATTTAGAGTTTCATTTGAGTGATGGACGATGGGAACTAGACAAATTCAGTGGAATAAAAACAATAAAAACAAAGAGTGAGAGAGATTCTAGAGGTTCTAAGGTTTCCAAATCTATGTGTGATTTGTTTTTATGATATATCTGAAGCGTGAAATAAAAAAGTAAACCAGTCTAGAATACATCAAAATATTTAAAATCTCTCTTCCATAACAAACCATTATGTGTAGAGGGTTCTATGGAAAGTATCCAATTTAACCATTCAATAAATGTTTTTGAGAGAGTACACTGGCAAGGAAGCATGCTAAGCAGTGGGAGGGAAGGAAAGGGATGAGACCAGAAGGTAAGGGAAAGGAAAGGAAGAGAAGGGAAAGCAAGGGTGGGGAAGTTAAGGGAGGGGAAAGGAGAGGAGAAGAAAGGAGAAGAGAAAAAGAGAGAAGGAGAAACCCTTGATATTGAGGAAATAGTAATTCAGGCAGTTGGAACCCCTTGGGAAAATGTGAATTTTTAGGTAACATATTCCTATCTGGCTGTGCTTCAGGAGCTCTGAGAAACCTGGATATTGTTGTAGGGAGTATTCCTGTTTGGAGGGACTGCTGACCAAACCTGCTTAGGGCTGGCCAAAGGTGCCGTTGACCACTCCTGCTTGGGCGTGCTCAGAGTGACGTAGCAATAGTTGAAGTAGCAGAGAGGCGCACACGAGGCTCTCTTTTCTCTCTCCCACCTGGATGAGCAGACATCAGCTCCCATGTAAACCTGGTCACTGGCCCTTGCATGAGTACTATCTCATCCTCTTCACCACATTAGGGCCCCAAAATAACACACAGAAATTAATATTAGATACAATGCTGCTGGCCACTGACTAGGATTTCTTATATGCTAGCTCTGTCTTAAGTATCAACCATTACCATTAATCTATATATTTTTATAAAGACTTAGCTTATTGAGGATGCTAGCCTTATGTGTCCTGTCTTCCCAGGGATCACATGGCTATTCTGTCCTTGCTACATTTCCCAGAATCCTCCTCAGCTCTTAGGCCATGTATCTTGCTTCCCTATTGGCCAACAGTGCTTTATTTATTAATCAATAAGACAAACATATACACAGAAAGACTAAAGACACACCCAGTGAAGTTATATTCTGGGAGAAAGTGGGTAACCCTACCAGGGTGAGAGCAGAGATGAACTTTGAAGGGAATGGTGCCATCCTTTGGAGGGCTTACCTTCTGTGGAGGATAATAGGGAAAGTAGGACAAAAGTCAAGCGTCGTAGGAAATGTTTGGGCTTCCATGTGCTGCTGTGTTGCTCTCTGTTCTAGACAGACCTTGCCTTTGCTCCAGCAGAGTTTTCTGCATAAACATTTTTTTGTTCAAGGAAGATTTCCATGTTCTTTCCTTTTTTTCCCAGCCTTCCTTTTCTCCTCCCGATTTACTTCTCTCTTTTGACCTAAATCTTGTGGTTCCTCTGGTCCAACTTGCTTATGCCATTAATTTCAGCTACAAAGAGATGACAATAGAGAGGGCCCTATTTCATTTGGATTTGGACAATACTATAATGATGGGAATTTATTTAATTTTTTTCATTTTACATACCAACCCCTGTTCCCCCTTCCTCCCCTTCACCCATCCCAACCCTCTCCTCCCCCCCATCATGGACTCTGGGAATTATTTTAATAGGCCCATATTTCTGGCACAAGACAGGTGAAGAATTGGAGGAGAAGTAATAAACATAATTTACAAATATGGTTTTACATAGCACATGACTAACTAATAGCTATGTGAATTCTAGAAAGCATTTTGTGTGGTTTGAACCTCAGTTTTCTTACCTTAAAATGACCATTCTTATGATATCCTAAATAGAATGTTGCTGGCTAAATAAGGTCTTCCAAGTGTATGCTTGAAGAACTGTTACTATTTTTGATACATTGAGAGTGTATGTGAAATTATGCCTATAAAATATTACTTTTACTTTTCATCTTAAATCTCACTGTCTTACTGACTTTTCCTTAAGGAAAAATATTCTAAACGGGGTTGGAGAATAACATTTTTTTAAATTGAACTCCTAGTCAATTGAAGGAATTGTGATGGCTAAAGAATAATGTGGAAATTCAAATACAGGTTAAACAGTCTTAGACAGAATATGTCTCCACATGCTGGTATGGGAACACATATATCCCCATTGTTATTTTAGTCTGTCTTGTCTTCCCTATAAAATTGTCCCCCATTTTCATTAGTATTACATTGATTAAAAAACTATGTTTAATTTTATTAATATACTGAGAATATCACATTTTTCTGCTTAGGAAAAGGCAACCATCTGATAATATTCAAGAAGTTAAGCTCCTTGCTCAGTTTGTAACAGATATTGTGGACGTTTCATGCATTTTTATGACATACTTGCAGTCTTCAGATTTGTACTGTTCCACATGCCGATACAGATTCCAGAGTCTCATGTTAAAGTCGCTTACATACCCAGAAAGGTATGAAATCTAAATTTTGATTACACTATTTTGTCTTAATATGTAAAATGCTCTTTAAGTTTTTGTTAAGAATTTATGTGTGCAAATGCTCATTAATTTTGTTATAAAAGGATCTCAAAATGTTTCTAAAAAGACATAAATGAATTTTTTTTTGTCCTAAGTGATATTTACGATAGTTTAGAGTTACATTATCTGGACAACAGAAAAAACACACATAATAATTTCATAAGGTATTGTTAAGTTGGTGAATTGACACAATATACCCCTTAAAGGTTTATCAATATTTTCTTTTGTTTTTTCTTTGCTTGTTTTTAGCTCAAAAAACAGTTCTATTAGAGTTTGACAGAAAAAGAACAGGAGAAGCCAGCTGTAAATCTCAGCAGCTGCAATGAGGATCAAGACAGAGAAGTAGAAAAGGAGAGAAAGAGAGAAATCATGCTAGGGTTGACCACAAAGTCCCAAGTGGGATTCTTAACACCATTGAGAAAGTCAAGCATTGCCCTATGCAACTGTGACCCCTGTGTTGGAGGAAGAGACACAGGGGAATCATGGGACTTGATGGCCATCCGGGCTAGTCAACTCAGTAATCTCCAGGTTCCACAAGACATCATATCCCAGGGAAATAAGGAAGGAAATGGTAGGGGAAGATACTAACATCATCTCTGGCCTCTGCCTGTGCACACACAGGTAAATACACCACACATGCACGCGTGCATACATGCATATCCCATGCATAGATACATACATCACACATAAACATATGCAAACATGCATATCCCATACATATCCCACATGCACATAATAAAAGATGTGGTTTGTGGATTGATTGTAATCTCTTTAGTTGTTTTTAAGATTTCTACTTTCATTCACTTTTTTATTCATATATACATATGAATTCCTAGCTATCTTTTATAAAAGTGAAGTGCAGAGGATAAGTGTTTGTACACAGTAATAACAAAAGCATATGTGATTGTGTGTGTGTATAGTGATATATAATGCCTGTGTATGAACGCATGATACATGCATATATTTGTGTGTTGAGGCAAGAGGTCAACCTTAGATATCATTCTTCAAGTGCCATTCACATTTTGTGGAAGATAGGATCTCTCACCGGCATCACAATAATGATCCCTAGAGATCTGCATCTCTCTCTGCCTCTCCAGTGTTGAACTTATAACACTGTGCTAGCCTTTTAAAGTGAGAACTAGGGATCCAATTCAAGACCCCCATATTTGTGCTACTGACTGATAGAGCTGTTTCCCAAACTGAGAACATGCATTTAGATGAGTTCTACATTCACAGAAGAATGTTGGGAATTAATTTAAATGCAAATCATCTTACAAATTTCGGTTGATAATATACATGCATTCAAAAATCAGTGAAGTGCTATTATACTAATAAAAGGCAGTTTTCATTGTCCCTGTGGTTGGAATGTATGCAAAAGAAATGAAAACCAATACAAATCCAAGCAAGAACAATTACTACCATCATTCCTTACAAATATGTGGCTGAAGCAGAATGTCATATCTTGAAGGACAAAGTTTTAAGTTTTCATCTATATCTGATTTGGTATTTATTTTTAAAATAAATGACAATTTCCAGTAATAAATAAATTTATTCATTGCAGAGCATTTGGAAAATTTGTTTCATATGTAATGTTTCTGCTTTTGCATCAGTATTTTCTCATTTCATTTTTTATGTAGAAATAGGTTGCAGAAGTACTCTTTCATAAGTAAGAAATAGGGAAAAGCCATTTCTATATGCTCCAGTGCATAAAACACACAGGCATGGGATTTTCTTTTCCAAAACCTAAACTGTGGATGGATTATGTACTAGATTGAAAAAAATTGTATGCCATTCTTTTGACTCAGAAAATGAAAATTTAAAACACATCTTCTGGTGTTGCATGATAAATAAAAGATCCAGAAACAGATTCAAGCTTCAAGTTGAAGATCAGAGCAGCAAAGCAGACAAGCCAGTAGATGTTACCTCTACCCAGCTGAAATGGCAATCCTGTGTTCATGAATACTCAGAAGCAAAATCTCTCAGTTCCTGTCTCCTCCTGCCTTATTCCTTTTCTCTTCACAGCCATATCCTCCTGTCTCCACCTCCCTAATGCTGGGATTAAAGGCTTGTGATCCCAGGTGCTGAGATCATCTTGGTGTGAGCTGTTTCTTTAGGATTAGATCAACTTGAACTGACAGAAATCTGTCTACCTCTTAATCCTGAGTCCTGGGATTAAAGTTGTGTACAACCACCACTTAGCTCTATAATCAATCAATTGATCAAAATTTTTATCACCACTGGCTGATCCCTATAGCTTGCAGCTGGCTTTGCTTTCTGAATCCCCAGCCAAGCTTTAATAAAGGATACATAATAGATCACCTAAGGTCATCTCATTCAAATCACCACAACCAGGTTGGTTTTTGGTTTTGTAATGTTAAGGCTACTTGATTGGCCTCTTGTTTTTCACTTCTAGTTTTTTAATAGGTATGCAAATATAGGTTGTTGATAATTTCCATTTCTCAAAAAACACTGTGAGGTCAACTCTGCTATTCAATTTGGGCATTTGCACATTAATTTAATTAAGAGTAATGTCAGTGCAGTGCAATTCTAGCTTTGACTTTTTGTTTTCTATTTGTCCTGTTGGTTCCCTGCTCATTATTTCTCATCATCTTTCTTTGGATAAATTGAGGAATTATATAATTTCATTGTTTCTTTGTTTGGATCTGTGAATGGTTTCCTTGGAGTTTATATTATAATATTTTGTTTATAGAAATCTACTTTCAAATGATTTTAACAGTTCACATAGGAGAATATTACAGTACTCTGCTTTTATTTTTCATTGATAAATTTCTGCTGTTGTTGGGAAATCTTTTCCTTTAAAATGTCCTAAAAATTCATAATAAACTCTACTATTTCTATTTAAACAGTTAGTCTATGAAAGAGATAACAAGACTTAGAGATGTGTGTGTGTGTGTGTGTGTAGTATATGTGTGTGTACATATATCTTCAAGTGTGAATGCATGTGCTTGTTTGTGTACATGTGTACATGTGTGTGAATGTGTCTTATAAAGGATAGGTATAAAACAAGAAATTTTTCTTAGTCACTTCTGATTTTTTTGAGACATACTCTTTCATTGAATCCAGAGCACATGGATTCTGTCACACAGCTCTAACAGCAGTATCTAGGGATTGGCCATCTCTCTGTGCAGCCCCTAGTACTTGGGTTGTAGACTTGTACTGCAGCCTGCGGCTCTTACATTTGTGTGGGACTTCAAACTTGGGTTCTCATACTTGCATGGAAAGAACTTTGCTAAGTGGGACTTCTCCTCAGCCCCCTTTTAGATGTTTTTTGTTTGTTTTATTTTTTAAAAGAAGCATCTTTTCACCCACTTTAACTTACTTTCTAGAGTGGTTTCCATAACATTTTTCCTACCTGTGTAAATTCCTTATGTTTTCTTCATCCCGTAAGATAATATTTCTGGGCATAGAATTCTAGTGTGACAAACTTTACCTTCAGTACTGCCAGTGGCCATGTCAGAGGAGCAGCAGGTGGCACTAGCACTTCAGGTATTCAGTCCACCAGAAAGCAAGGCACTGATAGGTGAATCTCAAATAGGCAAGGCCCTAAGGGCTGTTCCTCCAGAATGTCTCTTGTTACTGCTGTGCCGTATGTATTTGAGGCTGCCATTTTTCTCTGGTAGTCTGACATGGTGTGAGTGGGTGTGAGGGGATCCCCACTGCCTTTAATGTGGTGTGATTATCTCATGGAGATATCTTGTTCTACTGGGCATTTTTACCTGCAGATTAGTATGAAGATGATTTCCTCTTAAACTGTGCTGTTTAATTGAAGTAATGATTTTATACAATAGTAGTGTTAGTTTAAATAGAATTTTGGTGATTAAGGATTTCTTACAGATATAGTATTGGAATGTGATAGTGATTAGTTTAGTGGGAAAATTAATATAGGTAAAGATAAGCTATAGTTTTGTCCACACCCCTGGTAGAGCAGGGGCTCCAGAGGCTAGAAAATAAGAACAAGAAAGTATCACTCAGCTGGAATTTATGAGTTTCTCTTGAGAAGCCATATAAACTATGGTTTAGATGAATGATTAAGGGAAACAACTGATTGCCAGAATCTAGGCTAGCTCAAGTTCTTTTAATGTTAATGTTGGGAGTTGTGTTCAGGGGTTTCAGTGTACATCACAGCTAACAACACAAAACTTTAAATAATGACTTAAGGTTAGGTTAAGATGCTTTTGTTAATGGCTTTGAGGTAGAAAATCTTGGGAAATAATTTAAAGTTTAGAGAGACACACTTTTAATAGTTGAGAGAGGGACTAACTGAGGTCAAAGAACCAAAACAATGGCAACCTGGCTATTGCTGGCTGAAATACCTTTCTTGCTAGAGTGGGTTGGTGATCAAAGGTGATGATTAATTCCTTGTACCCATTTCTACCCCCAGCTTCCTGATTAAAAAAAAAAAACTTTTGATGAGTGGGTATGCACCATGAATATTTAAAGTAGAAATTACTGTTTTTCATATATCTAAGTTGAGATTGTGATTCTCTTAAGATAAGTTTTTGAGATAAATGATTAAGTGACTGGTCCCTTCTTTGCAACTACAAAATGCAGCCTGCTAGTAAAAGAACTGGTTGAGAAAAATACCTTGCTTGCTTACATTCTGTTAATTTGTAACAAGTTGCTTCACATGAATGTATGTGGGTCCTTGGGGATAATTTTTCACCTGTAATACACACAATGTTTATTCATGTGAGGGAAATGGGGGACATGTTACTCTTTTATTTGTGCTCATTGTAATTACTCACTTAAAATAGAATGAAACCACCCTGTAATTTTTATGTTGCTTGAAAGATTTTGTTGGGGTAAAAAAGCCATAAGGGAAAAAAAAAAAAAAAAAAAAAAAAAAAAAAAAAAAAAAAAAA